ATCTCCTGGCATTTGCTATTGTAGCATTTGTAGTCACTGCTCTGCCTAGATCTGATTGCTTCATCCAGACTTGCTGCCTCAAGTCACTGTCTACTGGTTCTGTGATTCCCAGCCACAGTTTGTTATCTTCTCATCTATGTAACTTTCCTGTTTCTAAGTCACATCCCATTTCAGCCCTTTAGACCTAAGTGGAAAACCTTTGTTCATTCTTCCGGTAGAGTGTGCCTTCTTCTGAAGACATTTCTTCCCTCGCCCTCTCCAGTGTTCCCATGAGGCAGAAACACAATTCTCCAGGTCTACATTCACTTTCACTCAGCTAGCATCTAATAGACAACTTTATGTGCCTTGAGCAATTCTAGATGCTTACAATGTGCTTGTATCTGTAGCATTCATGCCATCTATATCTATCTATCTATCTATCTATCTATCTATCATCTATCTACCTATCATCTATCATCTATGTACCTATCTTTCTATCATCTATTTGCCCATCTTTCTATCAATCACCTATCTAATTATAATTCACTTTGAAAAAAATTCAAGCAAAATTAGTGGATTGAACTATGTACACTGCTCAGTAGGGTGACTTACATTTTGAATAAAAGGCTTACAGTAGCATTCATTGGGAAGACTGCAGATGAACCAAGCCTTGAAAAAGAGGAGGAGCCAGGCACATGGAAGGGGAGGATGGACACCAAGGTAGGAGTAGCAGCAGATGTGATGGTCCTGAGGTAGACGCATGCTTGGCACGCACACACACACATACACACACACACACACACACACACACACACACACACAAATCAACACAGTTGGAGGGGAAAGAGCATGGATGAGAGAGGCGGGAGATGAGGTCAGAAAAGAAAGGAATCAAATCCTTAGGGCATCATGGGCAATTTAATGGTGTTGAGTTTTACTTTGTATCAGGTGGGCAGGCTTTGGAGATTCTGTGCTAAGATACACCTTAACTGACTTAGGACCTTACAGGACCACCCTAGATTCTGTGATAGGACTAAGTTGCAAGCAGAGCACAGGGGCAAACAAAGCCAGTGGGTCAGTCAGAAGATAACAGCAGTGTTCCAGGTGACCCAGAACAGCAGCCTTGAGCACAATGGCACCAGTAGAGCTCAGCAGAAGCAATCCGATTCTGGATGCAGTCTGAAGGCTGACTTGACAGGATACACTGATGGATGGGCTGCGGGACAGGACTGGGGACAAAGGACTACTCAAGATGGCTCCGAGGTTCTGAGCAGTCAGCAGGATGGACTCTTTGAGATGCCAAAGTCTGCTGGAGGAGCAGATATTGTCGTGGGGGGAGGACAAGAAATGATAAATTTTGAGTATGAGTTTGAGACATTTATTAGGCGTCCAAATAGAGATGCCAAATAATTAGTCAGATATATGGATGTGAAGTTCAAGGAGAGGTCTGGCCTGAAGAAATGAACTGGGAGTCATCAGTACATTTTAGTACCTAAATGCATGAGTGACTGGTTGGAATTATCTTGTGATTGGATGGATTAGCTGGCTGGGGGTTGTGGGGAGTGTGAAGACTAAAGTCTTGGACTTTCCAACACTAAGGTTTTGGGGAACAGGGACAGGCCAAAGAGTATAAGAAGGAAACATAAGAATCCCAACAAGCTAGTGGGTCAAAGAGAAGACAGGGTACAGCTCCAGTGAATGTAGCTGCTTGGTCGAGTATAATGAGGGCTAAGATTTGGCTTGATTGAATTGGACTCAAGAGAAGAGGAAGTGGACAGCTAATCTAAATGAACTGTAAAACTCACTACGATTTAAAAGGAAGCAAAAAAGAAATAACAAAACAACTCCAAAGTATTCTTTGGGGGAAATGTGAGAGGGAGAGACCATTCTACCTCTTAAGTAGGAGAAATTATAGAATGTCCAATGAGGATGAGAAGGGGACATTTTTCAAGTGATGTCATGGAAAGAGGTTGATCGAGTTGTCACTAGGAACCCAGATGGCTAATTCCTAACAGGAGGGTGAGCACGTATTGAGATGGGTGCTCACAGAAGTCTAGAACTTTCTCTGCTAAGAGCTCAGTCCTCTGCAGCCCAGGAAGATGACAGTGCTGCCTGACTTTGTCAACTTGTCACAACCCAGAATTACCCAGGAAACAAATCTCAATAAGGGCTTGTCTAGACTAGGTTTGTGGGCATGTTTATGTGGGATCACATTAATTGATGGGAAGGCCCGCCCACTGTGAGTGGCACCATTCCAAGGGTAGAGAGTCCCAGATTATATTATAGCAGAAGCAGCTGCCTGAGCAGCATGCATGCCATTTGCCCATTGCTCTCCTCTCTTGATGAGCTCTTTCAGGGTCCCACCACTATGACCTCCCTGCTGTGATGTAACCTGAAACTATGAGTCCAACAAACCTTCGGTTGCTTTATTCAGAATGTTTAGCACAGCAACAGAAAACAAAGATGGTAACTAACACCCTTTCCTCAATGATAAGAACTACTGACTCTGCAAAAACTTACTCTATTGACCATAGGAAGAGAAATTTCTCTGAGACAAGTTCTGCTAATGCTTGGAACTTTGAGCGTGGTGTTTATAACTCTATGGTTGGGAGAAGGTTCCTACTGTGGTGAAGGTGACTATTTAGGGCCTGTGATGATACTAACTGGGTTCTGTGCCTTCAAAGGAAAAGATTGGTGGAAACTAAAGTCATTTTGGCCCTTAGGACCCTAAAAGAAGCAGGGTAATGAGCCGGTGATGAGTAATTCTGCTTTTGTTCTTAACACAAATGTAAGCTGTGTCTTTATTCCCAAAATGTTTGCAGAAAGGTGTTCTATGATCAGGATGTATGAAAGTGTAAGCATTTTCATGGTTCTGAATTAGGTTTATTTCCCGCAAGTTCCCACAGGTTCTTTAGGATGTTAAGAGTGTTGTGTCAGGCAGTACAAATGGGACATAGAATAATAATCTATTGTGAAAAGAAGTGGGATTGCTTCAGTTTCGTGAGTATTGATTTTTTAAAAACTTCTAATACATAATTTCTCTAGTGAAGTACTTAGTTTTCTCTTATGAAACATAATTGGAATATAATTAAATTATTTCTACCCTTATTTTATTCTTCATCTATTTGTGTTGTAATTTCTCATATGCACAGGTCTGTGCATCATAGACATTAAGTACATTTTTTGTTTTTTGTTTTTTTTATGAGACAGGGTTTCTCTGTATTGTTTCGGAGGCTGTCAGTCCAGCCCGGCCTCGAACTCACAGAGATCCGCCTGCCTCTGCCTCCCGAGTGCTGGGATTAAAGGCGTGCACCACCATCGCCCAGCTTTTAAGTACATTTTTTAAATGAATGAGTCTATTCTAATATTAAGCTTTTCAGTTTTTGCTCCTTAATTCCCATTATTGCTTGACTGTAATACATCATTTTCGGGGGTCTTCCAAAGATAAAGATTTTAAGATTAGCAACATAAAACCTAAATCTTGCTAGAACAAATTAAGTATTGAAAGTCCAAATCAATTTGCATGATTGAATCGATGCATAAATTTCATAAATTCGAGCTTTAGTCATAGGACAGTGAATCTAAATAAGTTATAGCACAAGATTGGGGTGCAGTTCAGAGGTAGAGATTAGTCTAACATGCATAATGCATGCATTTGAGTTCAAGACTGAGAAACATAAATAAGATAAGGTTGCATAAAATTCAATGGAGCTAGGGATGTCTAGGCAGCCCACAGATGAAGGGAGTGGGGGAAGAAGAAAGGAAGGACAGGCTCAGGGTAGAAACTAGAGGATGTTTTTATAATTTTAAGTGCAAGTATGTGTGTCTGTGCACCACCAGTGTGCATGAACCTGTGGAGACCAGAAGAGGGCGACAGATCCTCTGGACCTGGAGTTACAGATGGCTGTGAGCTGCCATGGGTGCTGGGCTCTGCAATAGCAACCAGTGCTCTTAACTGCTGAGCCATCTCTCTCCAGCCCCATACCTTGTGGAAGTTCAGCTTGAATTATTTAGATTAGTTGTTTCCTAAATGTAACTTGCTTACTTGCTTTTTCTTTCTTTCTTTCTTTCTTTCTTTCTTTCTTTCTTTCTTTCTTCCTTCCTTCCTTCCTTCCTTCCTTCCTTCCTTCCTTTCCTTTCCTTTCTTTTTTTCTTTAGTACTGGCTGCTTTATTCACATGAAGCCCTAATTTTTCTCCCAGACAAAGCAGTACTGTACAGATCAATGTTCCACTCCTTGTGGGATATGCTCAGTCTGTTCCCTGCTCTTAGATGGTCTGGGACTGTTGTGTTTAACATGTCTTCCTCTACTTCTCCATTCCTTCTGACGTAGCCTTCAAGGAAAGCTCTTTCTTTGATGTTCAAATGGAGATGACCTTCATTTTGGAAAGCCAGTTAATTAATTATAAAATTACTGAAAAAGCAACCAGCATCTCTGAAGCATAAACTGAGCAGGGTGGCTTTCCAGTTCAGTTCTTCATTACTAGGCTAAGGGATCCAGCTCTAGAAGGGCGGACTGAGGACTTGAGAAAAGCCGAGCCTCTAGAATAGCAGCCAGAGCACTCAGGAAACAAAGCCAGCAAAATTTATTTTTCCCAGAACCCGAAATTAACCAAAATGCTGGAAAAAATTATCAGGGGCTTGCCGTGGAGTCAAGATCAGAGTGTGGGTGAGCTGGTGAGCCTGCCGGGTTTTCACGTCCTTGTTCCCAGCGCCTTTTCTGCTTCCCTGTAGCCTTGAAAGCCAAACTGTGATAGCTGAAAAGCATTTGCCTCAGCCCCAGGAAGGCGGAACGCAGCTGAGCTCCAGAAGCCCCATCCCACAGGACTGTCTCCACTTGACCTGAATGGCAGCTCCCTTCAAAGCTCTCTTCTCGGCTATCTTTATTTGATCTCTCCCAGGATTGGTTCTGTACAAACAGTTTTCATACCTGAGGCATTTTGTTCAAAAACAACCTCAGCTGCCTGAGGGGACAAGGCATTTGGGAAGAGGAAAGGACTGGCAATTTCTGTCTTCTTTTTTTAAGGTTTATTTTATTTTCAGTTATGTGTGTGGGTATTTGTCTTCGTGTGGCAAAGCGCACATGAGTGCGGGTGCCTGTAGGGGCCAAAAGGAAGCACCGGAACCCATGGAGCTGGAGACACAGGCATTTGTGAGCCCCGACATGGGTGCCGGGAACTAAGTCAAGTCCTCTGGAAGAGCAGACACTCCGATCGCTGAGCCATCTCTCCAGCCTTGCATCAGGATCTTAAAAGGGAACATTTGAATGACACAGTGACTGTGCGATGTGAAAAGCTCTGATATATTCCTGAGGATTCAGAAAACCATGTTCAAGGGAAGGGCTGTAAACTTTACTAGGGATAACCCCCGGGGGCCCCAATATCTCACCTCTGGATGGCTTTGCATCTTTGGGCGGGCAATAAGTGATGGTTGGATAGGTTCTGAAATGCTTGCTGGAGTGTGGAAACTCCTTAATGTCTGCATGAGTCTCCACAAAGAGTGAGGTCAGTGCATGCAAGGAACCGGTCTTTGAATTATTAGTTGGCCATCAAGCTAATGGAACAGAGATCTCGGTGGCCACAGGAGACAGAGCGAAGACTTTGAAGAGTGACTCCACCACCCAAACAACCAGCCACAACATGAAACCCCAGGTTGGGGGAAATCTCACATCCCGAGTTTATTGAATGTTTGTTTCTCCCCCTCACACACACAAACATGAAACATCCAAAGAAATTCAGGAAGACAATGCATGCACACAGGAGAAACAGGTATGACTAGAAGCCACGCCCAGAGTAGCCTAGACTTACTAGAAACATACTTTAAATAAATGATCAAAATATATTCAAAGAACTAAAAGAAGCCATATTCGAGGAATTAAAGTATCAGAGCCACATTTACCAGCCACACAGTAAAAAAATCTACAGAGAAATGGGGACTTGAGAAAGGAAACAAAGAGACATTTCAGAGTTTGTGGTACAATAGCTGAAGTGAGAATGTCACCAGATGGGCTTCATAGCAGGGTGAGATGACAGAAAGGGAAAAAAAAATCAAAATTGAAAAAAAAAAACCAAACAGCACAAGGAGAGCATTTATTGTTTTATAAGTCATGTGGTCATCGGGGCTCAGAAGTTTCATGGTCTGCTGTCTCCCAACCAGAACCCAGAGATGTCAAGGTAAAATTCACTCAAGTCTGAGTCGGAGACTCTAAGGGGCCAGTGGATTGAATCCCAGAGACCAACGAAGGTAGAGACAAGCTCTGACATCCCAGAATAAAAACTTTCCTAGTTCTAGAAAGACAACCCTGCTTCCATCTTTTTGTTCTGTCTGGGCACTTGGAGGAATGAGTCACCCTACCCTATCCCACCCCACAGCTCACCAGGTCATACCTTCTTTCAGAAGCCTACTTTCAAGCACAGCAGGAATAATGTTTTACCAACTGTCTATGTATCCGTGAGTCCAGTCAAATTGGTAGAGAAAATTAAACATCAGAAGTGGATACTGTCAATTGCCTCCCAGCATTCTCAGTGTGTGTTTGGGTTTTCTCTCTCTTTTTACAGTGTACTGCATGTACTTCTCAGGGAGCTCTGAGACTCAGCTTAACAAGGTCCACACTGCACATTAAACTCGTGTTGAGAGGCATTAAAATATACGTATTGCCCAAGACCCTTGTCAAGACAGTCTAAATTAAATGGTTTTGAGGAGAACCATGTATTTGCATAATGTGAAAGGTTTTTTGAATCACTGTATTGGGCATGTGCTATGGGTTGACTAATGGCCCTTCCCAATTCATACACAGAAATTCTAAGCACCAGCACCTTATTTGGAAATAGAATAGTTTTGGGTATGACTAATTAGATGAGGTTCTATTGGAGTGGGATGTAACACAATACAAACGGCATCTTTATAAAAAATACGATGGAGGGCTAGAGATTGCTCAGTGGTTAGAGCTCTGGCTGCTCTTGCAGAGGACTTGGATTCAATTCCAGCCTCTACATGGAGGCTCACAACCATCTGTAACTTCAGTTTCAAGGTATCTAGTACCCTCTTCTGGCTTCCACAGGCACTGCATGCACATGGTACTCAGATATACATGCAGGCAAAACTTGCATGCACACAAAAATAAATTAATCTAAAAAGAGGAATCATAAGCATGTGAGAAGGAAAGAAAGGGGTGGGGCTGGTGAGATGGGTTAGTGGATAAAGTGCTTGCTGTGTAAGTGAAGATCTGGATTTTAATCTCCAGAACTCAGGTAAAGCTGGCCATGGTTGCATGATCCTGAAATCCCAGTGCTCCTACGGCAAGATGAGGGAATCCCTGGTATATATACTCCATGGTAACAACTAAGAGATCCTTTCTCTTGCAAGGTTGAAGGCATGAGGAACAATGCCTGAGGTCTCCCTCTGTTGTCCTAACCTGCACTGTGTCATGTATGCACTTGCATTCACACACATGAACTTAAACACACACATACACACACACACACACACACACACACACACACACACACCACTCAAGAAAGAAAGAAAAGAAGGAGGGAGGAGAAAGGAGTAAGAGGGAACTGTAACACGAGTTCTGATAGGTCCTCCCCAATGAAAGTCTTTGTCCTGTTTCCCAGAGCCCAGCCTGATGGGGGTTGTCCTTCTATATATATGTGTCTCTTGTTGATTAATGAATAAAACACTGTTCAGCCAATGAGGCAGGAAGGTAGACGGGATTAGGGAAAAAGGAGACTTCTGGGAAAGGCACCAAAGGAGTAACAGGTCCAGATCCTTCTCCAGTAAGATGAGACCATACATAGATTAATAGAAATGGGTTAATAGTTAAGACATAGCCAGCCAATAAGAAGCCCTAGTCACTGGCCAATAGTTTTTAACTAATATAGCGTCTGTGTGTTTATTTGGGGTTGAGACGGCTGTGGGACCAGGCTAGCAGGCAAGAAAACTCCTTAACACCAGCCAGTTTGGGGACCTGGGACACAAGGAGAAGAAGAGATGGCCTCCGAGAAAGGAAATGCCACTATGACAGCAAGCAGGGTGGTGTTTTGGACTGAGTTTCTGTCCCTTACACAAGGAAAATTCTTCCCAACAAACAAATGTGGATTTTCTAAATCTTGAAGTACTAAAACTTTCAAGATAACATCCCTTTCTCTTGGGCACCAAATCATGTTGAAAGTCAGGGCACAGCACACTTCTACATGCATACTTCATTTATTTTTCAAACAGGAATTCTGTAGTTTTAAAAATAAACTGGCAGGTGCTAGGCAGCACTGAAAAACAAAACAAATGTAGAAATAGCTAAATCGTGGAGAAACAGCTCCAAGCTGGACTGTAAAGTAACACGAGCAGAGCAAAGTCACGAAAGATCGATTTGGCTCTGGCAAACAAAAGAAGACGCCGTCTAGGCCACTTTGGGACTGAGCGGGACTCCTTCAGCTGTACTTGTAAAAGGGAATTCTTGGTCCCGTGCCTGTTGCTACACTCTGTTTCACCTCTTTCATATAATTGATTATTTATGAACCCTTCAGCCTTCCTAATTTGGTGGGCAGACAGAATCCAGCCTGCCATGTTTATTTCTGGTTGAATGGTTACCTGATAGCATGGGCCAGGTAGTGGAAATCAGGTTCCAAGACTGTGCCAAGATTTGGCATTCAGCGGGTGCATCATTCCTGTATATCTCCACAATCTTGGGCATCAATAGGGAGACTCTCCCATTAGGATCTGCTGTAAATTCCACATGACACCCTTTCTTTCCACAGATGTTGTATGGCCTGAAGCACGGCCTGGACCTGCTGGAGGATTCTTTCTTCTCCTTGGGGACATGCAAAGCTGGACGCCATCAAATGGCTCCGACCAGCATCTCCACATGTGTCTCACACAGCTGCTGCAGTTAAAGTTAACACAAAGTTATTTTGCAAAGGTCTGCAGTTGTCCTCTGCTATACAACAGGCTTTGATAAAACATGTGAATTTAATAGGGACCCAAAGGGAGATAGTGTCTCTTAGTTGTTTGAGGATGATGTTAAATTTTGTCATATCCCCATGACTCACCTTTTATTGCCTGAAAGGTAGCCTCCTCTACCAATTCTTACTCACAGTCAAGTGAATACATTTTGAATGTGTATGTCCATTTTAATAACAATAGGTAAACTAGGGAAATGGCCAATGGGTCCTACTGTGAGCTGTACCTGGGGAAATGCTCCATTTGCTTCCTGGACTGCAGGCACCAACTTCCTTGCAGGTAGGTCCAGTTATAACAGTCTTTTACCTGAACACTGCTCCCTCTACAAGTTGAGAGTGGGGAATAGCTAGAGGTCTTCAGGGCCATTTAGCAATGATGGTGTGTTTCATCACGATCTTGAGAGAATATTTTCAAAGCCCAAATCTTCTTGAGGACTCACAGACTGATTCTGGCTTTACAAAGTCCTCATTTGTCTGTTGTCATCTGATCAGCGTGCAAGATATACTCCCAGGCAAGCTCTGCTTTTGTAGTCACATAATACACTCTTTCCAGACTATGCCATCCTAAGGACCAGTGCAGGTAGACCTTGCTCGGTGTTTAGCTGCAAAATGGACCACAGCTCAGGCAGTTGGTTTAGTTTAGCGATCCACACTCTTGGGGCTAAGTTCCACAGACACTCAGATGATATCTGCAACTCACAAAAATGTGCTGAAATGTGGTGTGACAGGAGTTTTGTTTGGTTTTGGTTTTTCGAGACAGGGTTTCTCTGTGTAGCTTTGGAGCCTGTCCTAGAACTTGCCCTATAGCCCAGGCTGTACATGAACTCACAGAAATCTACCTGCCTCTGCCCCCCACGTGCTGGAATTAAAGGTGTGTAGCACCACCACCCAGCATGACAGGAGTTTTTAAAGCCATATTTTTCCTGTTTCCTTTGGCTGTGAAGGCAATATTGGCCTCTGTTTGTTTACCTATCTGTATTTGCCTTTGAGCTGTGAAAAGAATAGAAAGCCTCTGCTCTCTCCACATAGTTCCGTGGAACAAAAGCAGGGCTATGTGTGTGCTAAGCACACATTCTCCAGTGCCACCTGTGGCCTTTTGATGACATCAGGATACTACTGAAGCTATTGAAAGCACACTCATTGTTTTGAGTTCATCCATGGTTTGGATTCATCCCTCCCTCTCCTGTGCTCATAAATTCATGGATAGCATTGTCCCCAAAGAAGCTCACATTTAAGAGTTAGATTTTAAAAAGGCCTAGGAATATTTTTATAACTATTTTTTGTTTGTTCTTTGAGACCGAAGATTCTATGCTGATGGAAAAGTTTGGAATTAACAGCTCATTGCTATGCTCCAGGGACTATTAGCTCTCTGGAAGGAAACCACTGCCCTCAAAGATCCTCTAAGTGTTTTTCTTCAGGTAGGAATGTACTGGTCACAGCTGAGTGGATGCAGATGGCTTCTGTCCATGAACATCCTGCCATGGTGCTGGTGGAAGACTTGAATTAAGTTTCCAAATGGCCTAGGAATATTTTTATTGTCATCCATATTTCTACCTTTTAGAAGGCACTATTAAAATGAGTACAATGAGTTATTTCCTAATTCTTCCATTAGTACCCATCTGCCAGCACCCCTCATGAATACATGAGCCTCTGGAGTTTTCTCTCTTTGTTTTGGGTTTTCTGTTGCTGTTTTTTGCGTGGGGGGGGATGGCGTTGCCTATGTGTGTGTGTGGGGGGGGTAGAAGCCAGAGGAAAGCTTGGGTGCTATCTATCTTGTTTTCTATACAAGATTGATGTTTTTGTACTTTCCATTGACCTGGAGTGTGTTGATTAGTCTAGACTGGGGATGACAAGCATGTGTGTGACACTACCCTGGCCCTTTTTTTTAAAATGTGGGTTCTGGGGATCAAAGTGATGTTCTCATGCTTGGGCAGCACACACGGTACTGATGGAGCATCTCCTTCTGCTCTTGATGTTGTGTGGCTCTGATGCCCCTATTGCTTATAAAAGCATAGCACGTCATGTGCATCCGGCTTTGATTTATGACTTCTGTCCGAGTGTCAGCCTAATGCATGCAATATGTTTAAAATTTTCTGCATTGGGTCATGGAGGGGCCTTCCAGGTCATGACTGTGAGAATTACAGGAAAGACTAGTTCATATCTGACTATTGAAAAGTTTCCTATTACATTAAAATCTATGCCCCTGTTTTCCTTCATCTATCTGAGTGTCAGGCCAAACAGAATTGGTTTGATTCCTCCACACATCATTTGAAGTAGCTGCTACAGCCCAAATCATCTTCCCAATAGGCCATGTCTTCCCTTGGTTTGGCAAACTCTCTTCATTGAAAAGAGTTGCAATTTTCCCTACTGACATCCCCATTTCTTTGGGGTCCATTGTTTGAACCATCTGATGGTGAGATTGAATGACACAAGTGTCTCTGTAGGATGTCTTCATATCTGCCATGCCTGTTACAATGGGTACGCGTTCTCTCTCTCTCTCTCTCTCTCTCTCTCTCTCTCTCTCTCTCTCTCTCTCTCTCACACACACACACACACACACACACACAGAAAGAGCACACACCAAACCACTCACACAAGACTTTCACATCCTTAATGATACTTGTTACACTCTTATGTGCCTGGCACAGGAGGAGATTTAAAAGCATGATCATGTGTAGCAGAACCTCTCTGAAGTAGACATGATGCATAATGACCCACACAGTACGGATGTAAGACAGGTGATCTATCTTCCTAAGGTCAGTCAGGAAGAGATGAGCCAAGCCTTGGATGGGTCTCCTTGACCGCAAATCCCAGTTATTCTTACTGAATGTTCTGTTTCTATTTGCTTTGAGCAACAGGGTCAGTTTTGCTCATGGAACCTGGGAGGGTCACAGCAAACTTGTGGAGACAGCCTAAAATATGTCTGGTCATTCTCAATGTCTTTTTCTGACTCACGCACACACACAGGTTTTAAGTATCACAAGGTCCATAATTTCTGAGATCTGACCTAGATCTGACCTGAGGATTGCTTCTCCCAGTGAGGAGGTGTTTTACTCCAGGCCAGGTGTTACCACACTCTTTCCAGCTTGGAAGTCTTGGTATGTGTGACCACTGCCTTGATTACCAACATAGGTGGTCACAGCAAGTTGGCTCCACTCGGCAGGTTGCAAGAGCAAAAGAAACAGGATCAATGTGTTTACTTGGGTTGAATGTCAAGTACAGGTATGGTACTGGCTCTCAGATTTCTCAGGGAGTGTCTGTGTTGAAGAACAAAGAGTTCTTTTCCTCAGACAGGCATCCATTCTCACACTTGGCTTTTTGGAAACAAAACAACAAAACCCACCAATGAAAAAGGGTGTGGCTCCAGGAGACTCCCTGGAGTCAACCATCCCAGGCGCTCAGGAGACTGTTCCCCTCCAGCCTAGACAAGCTTCCCTGTTTTCCAGGAGATGCTGAGGCTTTCGTTTGCTTTTGACCTACAGTTGTGCCTCTTTCTTTATCGAAATCTGTTCTTAAAGATTACTTTATTATTTTAAATTATATATATGTACATATATAGTGTGTGTGTGTGTGTGCATGTGAGGGCAGGTGTTGGTCCTCCTTTTTGTAACTGAAGTTACAGGAAGCTGTGAGCCATAGGACTAGGGTGCTGAGAGCCTGACCCATGTCTTCTGGGAGAGCAATAGGTGCCCTTAACCACTGAACCATCTTTCCAGCCCTTCAAACTCCACTCTTACATAGTAGCCAAAATGAATGTAGATTCTCAAGGCCTCTTTAACAGGAAAATGCCAGGAATTAAGGGGAAAAAGTGGCATGTTCCTTGGTTCAACATGCAGCATGTGAAAGCAAGTCTAAGGGGTTTGGATTGTGCATCCTTCAGGCAGAGCCAGTGCTATCTTCAGCTCTGACAAAGTAATGAACTGCCTTTTCCATATCAAGACTGAAAGCATATTGATGCTGGAGAGATGGCTCAGTGGTCAAGAACACACCTGCCTTGTATGAGTTTGGGTCCCACACTCACGTTAGGCATCTCACAACCTTCCATAATTCTAGCTTCAGAGGACCCAAGCCTTCTGGCCTCTGTGGACACCTGCACTCAGATACACAAACCCTCCTGAAACACACACACAACTAAAAATAAATTAGTTAATTAAAATTTAGTGTAGTGGCATAAGCCTTTACTTCAGGTACTCAAGAGGCAAAGGCAAGAGGATCTCTGTGAGTTCAAGGCTGGCATGGTCTACTTGGAGAGTTCTAGGACAGCCAGGGCTACACAGTGAAACCCTATCTCAAAAACAATTGAGACAAAAATATGTATACATTGAGATGAAGGAGTCACTTCTCTAGACCTGGTGAAAACAAGGGGACACTGAGTGGAGTGACCAGCACAATGTGGAGTGACAAGCCCAGTGTTGTCAGGTTAGTTTCCCTAGGGGTTGTGGGAAGGATTTATCCCAGGATCCCGTCCATTCACACCTTGCCCATGGTCACCATCTCCCTTTCTCTTCACACAGTTTTGCTTTTGTCATATATCTTTCTGTCCACATGTCCTCTTGTCATGAGGACACGAGTCATACTGGGTATGAGTTCACACTAGAAATCATACTTTAACTGTTCTTCCTTTAAGTACCCTGTCTCCATAGGTTGGGTTTTTGAGTCTTCCTGGGAATATGGAGGGAATAAATCTTCATATTGGAAACCATCTCATCATCTAATGATCCACATGATTTATAATCCCTTTGTGACTTTGATGGCACTTCTATTTCCCTTTAATCTTGATTAGGGTTATAAGAAATCCATGACATTTTTTCCCTTTTTACAAACAGTTATTGATTTTACTAATAGATTCTACTAATTTTTACAGTCATTTTAGTACTTATCCAAGACTTTCTTATTATTTCTGTGTGTGTGTGTGTGTGTGTGTGTGTGTGTGTGTGTGTGTGTAACATGCACAAGTTTGGTCTGAAGACCAAACCCAGGGCCTGGTGCACACTGGATAAGTAAGGGCTCTCTCTGCCACTGAATACCACTTCCAGCCCTACTCTTTAGTTTTGTAATGAAAATGTTCAGGCCTATGAATTGACTTTTTAGATTATAAAGGACACAACAACCACATGATCATGGGAGTCAGACTGTGTGAGTTCAAATATTACTTCTATCTGTAATCTTTTGAGACTATGGTAAAAAGCAAAGTAAGATAATTTGACAATTCTTGGTCCAACACTTCAGTAATTTGCTTGTCAGGGATAATTACAGTAGTTTAACTATTTTGCATTTATCTTTCATTTTATGTTATGAATGTTTTGCCTGCATGCATGTATGTCTGTGCACCATGTGCATGCCTGGTGCCCACAGAGGTCAGAAGAGGACATTGGATCCCTGGAAATGAAGTTACAGATGGTTGTTACCATGTGGGTGTTGCAAATCAAACCCAAGTTCTCTGGAAGAGTCACAGTGCTCTCAACTGTCCATGGAACTGAAGTTTTTCTAACAATGTATTTTCTCCATGGCCTCTGCATCAGCTCCTGCCTCCAGGTTCCTGTCCTGCTTGGGTTCCTGTCCTGACTTCCTTTGGTGTTGAACAGCAATGTGGAAGTGTAACCTGAAAAAAAACCTTTTCTCCCCAACTTGCTTTTGGTCATGCTGTTTCATCACAGCAACAAAAACCCTAAGACATAAACCTAATCAATAAAAAAGAAAATAAAAATCCCAAGGAAAAGAAAAGAGTATAAAGAGCCTGAGATAGTCAATGACTAAAAAAAAAAATAAAAGCAGGGTTTTTGTACATATGAGATCACAGCAATTATCAAAGCATGCACAAGACCAGCAAAAGCTAAAGCCAGATCCCTGTGTGTGTGTGTGTGTGTGTGTGTGTGTGAGAGAGAGAGAGAGAGAGAGAGAGAGAGAGAGAGAGAGAGAGAGAGAGAGAGTGGGGGCAGGAAGTCCCACCCACAACTGATAACTGCTGAGGGAGGGAGATTCGGTTTTCTTTAAGGGTGTGGCTGTTGGCAGGTTGCTCAGATGGATGGCCAAACCCAAGAGCAAATGAGCAGCACAAACTGGACTTGATGTGTTTAGAAACATGTGAAGACAAAAGCTAGGAGGGGGTGGGTCTTGGAGAAGTTGGGGGGGGAGACAAACGTCATCAAAATACATTGCAGAAAATTCTCAAAGAATTAATTATGAAAAAAGAAAAATTGAACATTGCTCTCTTCACAGTTGAAAACACAAGTACCAGGTGACTGACTCATTTTGCTACTCTACATATCTATGGATCAACAAGAGGGGTGCATGGAGTCACAGGTAAATTTTGCAAGTCAAGTGACTAGCAAATTCTGGATCTGTGAATGAGGCACAAATGTCCATGCAATGGAAAATTACCAGGTCTACAGCTCAGTAGAAGCGAATACACGCTATTCCAGGAATGAATGGCACATGCTAGTACATGGATGAGTGATATGTGTTGTTACATGGATGGGCTGCGAAAGCTTTATTCTAAGTGAAACAAGTCAGATAGAAAAGAAAAAATGTATATAATTCCTCTTGCAGGAAATTTCTACAATAAATAAGTTTATAGAAATAAAAGGTGAAAACTAGATATCCGTATATAACTAGAGCAGCAATTCTCAATCTGTGGGTCATGACCCTTTTGGGTCAATTTGTAACAATGAAAATACATCCTGCTTATCAGATATTAACATTACGATTCATAACAGTAGCAAAATGACAGTTATGAAGTAGCAATGAAAGTAATTGTATGGTTGGGGGTCACCACAACATGAGGTCACAGCATTAGGAAGGTTGAGAACCACTGGGCTATCTCTCACTTTGCACAAAAAGCAGCTCCAAATGGAAGAAAAACCTTAACACAAGACACAACCTCAGGAAAGCAGGAAGTACATTTCAAGATCTAGATACGGGCAAGGACTTTCTGAACCAGACTCCAGCTACCCGGGAAACAAACAAAACACCCACTCCCTCACCCCCCCCCACACACACATAAAACTAAAAATCTATACAGTAAATGGAATGGTTAATTGGGTGAAGCTGTTTGAATGAGGAAAAACTCTCCCCTGGCCACACATCCTAGAAAACACAAAGAACTCCAAAAACTGAACAACAAGAAAATAATCCAACTGAAAAGTGGGCCCAGTTGCTGAACACAGAGTTCTCAAAAAAGGAAATGCAAACACCTAGTAAATATTTTAAGACGTGTTCCACAGTCCTGCATTTCCATCATTCACCAAGAAAGCAAATGACAACAAATGCTGCAGGGTGTTTAAGGGAAGAGGAACACTTACTTTCTCACTACTAATGAGATGTACACTGCCGCGGCCACTGTGGAGATCAGTGTGGAAGGTTCTCCATAAGCTGAAACTGGAGTTATCAAATGACCCCGTCGTGCCACTCCTCCCAGTCTAGCCAAAGAACTACACATCCTACCACAGAGACACTTGCTCGTTCACGGTCATTGTTCACCGATGTTTGTTTCCAGGTAGCACGGAAACGAAACCAGCACAGCTGTCCATCGCATGATGAGTGGATAATGGAAATGTGGGTACATAAACACAAAGGGATTTTATCCAACCATAAAGAAAGATGAAATTATGCAATCTGCAGGGAAATTGGTGGGACTGAAAAATATCATAATGAGGTCACCCAGGTTCAGAAGGATAGCCAATCACACTGTGGTCTGTCCTGTGCAGATCTCTAGCTTCTGTTTTCATATGTGTGCGTCTGTGTGGGAGTGAGGGGGGCTGTGGCTCAGAAACTGAGGGGAGAAATTACTTTCAGCAGAAAATTATCCTGTAATTCAATCTTTTTTTTCTGCACTGTATTTAAAATTGAAAAAGTCATGATTGATTGGATTAGGATCTGACCACTTATGAGAAACTTTAAATTTGTGATTGTGTTCTGTCAGGGATTGCTGTTCACATTTTCTTCCAGATGAACTTCTGATTAGGCACGTGACTGGAAAAGTTGTAGTGTTCTGTTTTTGCTCGTGTCTACACATTTAACCCTTCCCATTGAGTCTTGCTTTCATGTCTTTTGTCTTTGATTAGTTCTCATTACATACATCTAAATCTAATAAAAATTTAAGAAAATAAAGTAAAAATCCAAAACATTTTATTCTTTAAGGGTAAATTAAATACTTTAGGTTAAGCAAAATATCTATAAATAATATACATCCAAAATCCATGTGTATATGTGTGTATTTACAGCCTAATAAAATCATATGTATGATTTTAATATACAGTATATTTATATAAATATTCTTTACTATTGTAATATATTTAATCATATATATGATTTTTTACTAAAGTTGGGAAACAGAAAAATGGCAGTTGTATATGTTTGTCGAAGATCTCACAATCGATTCTATTTTCACGATGAAATTACAGAAGAGCACAGCGCTATGAACAGTTGCATTCAGATACTGGGTTAGCTCACTCTGTATGTAATAGAAAATGAGCTGAGGGCGGGGCAGTGGTGGCGCACGCCTTTAATCCCAGCATTCCAGAGGCAGAGGCAGGAAGAGCTCTGTGAGTTTGAGGCCAGCCTTGTCTACAAAGCGAGTTCCAGGACAGCTAGGACTGCTACACAAAGAAACTCTATCTCAAAAAAGATGAAGAAGAAAGGAAATGTGCTGAGTTATTAAAGTCACACCAGGAAGAGAGAAAAGTGATGTCATACATTTAAAGGGTGATTGGATTACTCGTGCTGGCCCTTCCAAAAGCACTAAAGCCAAAGATGATGAAGAAAGAGGTTCTTGTTCATGCCCCCTTGACACTAGCTAAGTGTCTTTTCATCTTGGCTCCAACTTGCATTCTGTTTATAATATTGATTTCAGACAATGACGAATTTTAAGAATTTTCATACAAGGTAAAACATATCACCGAAACCCTTCAAAGTTGAAGGCTAGAAACAGAAAGAAGAGAACTGTGACTATCCCATCAGAAGCAGGAGACTCTGAAGGGACACACCTGTGCCCCTCCCTTCTGTCGTCATACAACTGAGGTGATGGACCCCAAAGAATTAAAACTTCCCCTGGGCATCTCATGCTGGGATGAGGAATGGGTTGAAGCCCTGGTACTCGCCAGGGGAGGCACTGGCTGCCTTGGGGAGATTTCACACAATTCGGAGCTCCTCAGAAGGCCCTGCAGGACAGATCAAGAGCTGAGACAAGGATGAGTTAGTGAGGGTGAGACCATACAGCAACCAGACAGAACCGCTGAATGAAGTCTATCTTTTGCCAGATGTTTAAGTCTAGACCCCATGACTATAGTTCTGAAGAAACAGTTGCTTATCTTCCCAGTGTGGCCACTTTGCACATGTCTTCTTTCTCTGCTCTTCACCATCTGTAATTGGTGTGTGGGGAAGGGGGAGGGCGAGCTTGTTGGGGCTTCCCGGACCTAGGTTCTTAACCTAAAACTCCGGTTACAAAGTTGCAAATAGGGCACAACCATTTAACTTGGTGAAAATAAGTAGTGGCATTCAAATAGCATGACCTTAATGGTGCATGAGCTAAGCCTCAGGATGCTGTTGAGACAATGACCTCTCCTACCTGCCATAGAGAGATACTCTACGGAATCTGAATCATAGAAACAATGTGACACATGACAGTTAAATTCTCTACATGGGGATAGCAACATGCATTAAGTGGAAAATCTGAGTTTCATGGCCCACCTAGGGAGCTGATAATAAGACCCAATAAGCAAGTTACTGGAATTACGCAGTCCTGGGAGCATACTGCTTCTCAACACAGGATCACATCCACACCATGTCCCTTCGTTTTGTATTGATCCGGTCCCCTGCCTTGGTTCTGACTCCTTCCTACTACTTTCTCAGAGGTGAGGAGAGAATATATTGATCCTGGAAGGCTCAAAGAGCCTCTGCTTTATCTAAAAGTGATCGATGGTGATGGCGACAATTTTTATCTTTGTTACTCTCTCCTTCTGAGAGACCAAGCTTCAAAAAGCTTTGCAGAAAAGAAACAGCCGGTAAATGGAAACATACTGGAAATATAAGGTTCATACCTCAGGGACAGAAGCTTGGAGGAAATTCCTGGATCATGCAAGGAGACATTCAACATACAACTGGGAAGATGCTGCACACGTTCGCCAGGAAAAGGATTTATAATGATGTTGGAACCAAAGCTGTGTCTTTCACGTCAGATGTGTATTCGGAAAATGAGATCGGCTCTTGAGTTCCAAATGCAAATAACTGTTTTTCCTATGTTTTCTGGGAAACCCGATCATTACCTTCTGTTCTCCAGAGAAGGGTGGTCTGATTGTTTTTTTTCCATTAAGGAAAGTAGAGTGAGGACTCTGTGGGGGGATTGGGCACCTGATTTGCATTCCCTACAGTTTCCCCTACTTTTGTCCAGGTGAGGAAATATGCCCTTTGATATATACTGGTGAACTTTTTCATTCAAATTCTACATCATATGATGAATATGTATTTAGATGTTTAAAATGGACTGAATGTTGGTGTTGCCCTTCCCAACAAGCTTCTTATGTCAAAATCCTATGCCCAGTCAATAATGTTAGATGATGAAGTCTTATGAAGGAGAAGAAAGCTTCTTGGGGTAGAAGCCACCGTGAATGAGGTTAATTACTAAAGAAACCCTAGAGATTTTCTTCACACTCTTTCTACTATGTGAGACACAAGAAGGTAGCCCAAATGGTGCCTCACAAAAATTTGGCTGTCCAGGCATCCTCCGTTCAAATTTTCAATATCAGGAACTGAGAATTTTTGTTCTCTGTATGCCACCCAGCCTACAGTAATAATGTGTTACAGTAGTCTAGGAAACTAATGTAATATTGAAATGAACATCTCACTCTTCATTCCAGTCTGGAGAAATAGCAATCTTAACTCACATTAAATGAGGATTTGTATTGGAGAACGAAGTGCTAACTTTCATATTTCAACATCTTGTGACACCAGTTCAAACCTCTCACTGGTGACAAAGGATGGCTCTACCACTACCGTTAAGTCAAGCAGCAATAGAGAACTTTGCTCTCTGTAGTATTAAATCACAACACCTTGTTATGTGTTCACAAACACGAATCTCTTTTCTTTTTCTATTTATAAAACTAGACTCTGAAGCCGGGCCAATTAGGGACCAATTAGCTGGAGCTCAGAAGTCACGTTCACTATGGTGACAGAAGCATGTTCCATCATGATAAGCAGAAGCCCCATTTACTCTATAATCATCTCCATTCTGGTTTTCTTCCCTCAGCCTAACTTGGCTTTCACACTTTAGAATTTCAAGCCACAGAGTGACATAATGCCTATAGATTTTCTGTCAAGATCTCTTTTTTTAAACTGCTAAATAATGACATCTATTTTTTTCAAAATTAGTAATAAGTTTTAGCTCAATATTTTTGGAAGACAGACACTGATATTTTTTAGTGGTGTGCATGTCTTTTAGGCAATATTGTTCCTCCCACAGTCCCTAATTCACCCACTTCCTGTTCACATCTGTAGAAAGGTCAGCCAAATGTCAACAATGAAGACTCTGCAGAGCAGACTAGAGCAGTGGGTGAACACCAGGAACAGAACCAGTAAGAGGGGCACAACGTTAGATTTATGTGTGTATGTGCATAGTGTACCATATTGCATGCAATTTTATTATCAGCAATTGGTTCATATAATTATGGAGGTCAAAGAGACCCAGGAGAGCTGACAGTCTAGTTTAAGCCTCAGACACTAAAATTTCAACTATGTAAATCCTAATTGGAGTTCAGACCCCAAAGCAGAAGGCTGATGGCCCAATTTGAATATAATCTGTCAGGGGAAGCAAAATTTCCCTTATTTTAGCATTTTACTTTAATTCAGTTCTTCAACAGATTGGATGGAATCCACTAATAGTGAAGAAGATATTCTGCCTTACTCAATCTTCCAGTTCCAGAAATACCCTCACAGATGCTGGAGAGATGGCTCCGTGGTTAACAGCACTGGCTACTCCTACAGAGGACCTGGGTTCAGTTCCAAGCAGCCATATAGTGGCTCACAACCATCTGTAACTCTAGTTCCAGGGGGATCTGATGCCCTCTTCTTACTTCTGCTGGCACTGCATATACATACATGGCACACAGGCATATACGCAGGCAAATACTAATGCAAATAAAATAAAAATAAATAAATCTCTAACAAACATTTTGCCTACATGCAATATTAAACACACATTCTTCTTCTTTTTTTAAAGGAATGCCTCACAAACTCAGTAAAGTTGACACAAATTGAACCATCCCATCACCAGTTTCCTTTCCACCCCTGGGACAGACTTTGGTAGCCCTCGTGAACTGTGCCTTCTGGTTTCACACCCTAGGTGGGTGTAAGTTTGGTCAACAAGACATTAGTACATGTGTCAAATGGGAAGCTTCTCTGCTCACTTGCACGAGGGTCTTGTACTCGTAGGATACACCATTCTGAAAAATCAGCACCGTG